TTTCAAGGATTTTCCCCCTCCACTTTATGTTACCTGCCAGCTGGTGAGGTGACCACACGTACACAAACCCAAAAGCTACACAAATTTATATTAAAAGCACTAAGAATGCTTTGGGATAGGGCYCATGCACATTTTCATCACTGCAAGACAGTGCTAGTTCAAGTAAACATTACATTTTCTACCCTCCTAATTGACAATGCTGAAAATGGGGRGAAAAAAGGAAAAAARCAAGCAATAAYTGTGGGATTAGAGTTTRTAAGAGAAAAWATATRCTGCAACACCAGACACCGGGGTGCTGACAACTGAGCTGACACAAGACATGTATTTGGGTAGAAAGCAGCTCATATGRACACAGTACTTGTATCCTTTTACTGAATTAAGAAGAATGAGCTTCATTATTAAGTTTTCTCCTCAGTGGATGCAGACACAATTGCAACTCTGAATGGCAGAAAGCAAGATGTTTCTCCAATTAGCTCTTCCAAAATTATTTTACCTCAGCCTTCAGACCGAAGCTGCTCTCCCTCTCARCCTTCCAGAAGCTTGAACAACTGCAAAGTGCTCCAGAGTTCATGACTCAACCCACATATTTGAGGAATCACAAGGTAWCCGAGGAGAGGGAAGAAAGGCAGCTCTTTTCCCTTATTAGAAAATGTAAGAAGATATTTATCTTCCACCAGTTAGCAGAAATGGTGGCAGAAATTGTCAGCAGAAATGTTTCTGTTAGCAGAAATCCTGCTGAAGAAGATGCAAAGGCCTTCATCCTCCATAGCTGAGTGAATGTTAACTGTTCACAACTGTTTTTTTGCTCTGACTTTTCCTGCAACGAAGATCAAAGTCTCTTCATTCTCAAACAGGGGTAAAAATGCCTTGGGAACCCCTCTTGAGTTCACAACTTCATTGGGAAAGAGCTCCAGTCCTAGCAGGAAGGTGACAATCTTTAAGGACAACACACCTTAAATGCTGCATATCAAGTTCTTGTTTCCCAAATATTATTTTTATAGTCTGATTAATATTTTATCATTTTTTATGTTTATTACAGACAGTAACTTCTTCAGAATTCGTGGGAAAAAAACCCACCAAAAAAATAAAAAAACAAACAAACAAACCAAAACAACTTATAAATAAAATATTTCTACTCCTCATGGTGAAGTTTTTATTATTTTTTAGCCTATGTAAAGTTTGTTGCAAAGCAGAAGAGTGGACCAGGACAATTCAAACCCATCAGCAAAGGATCCCGTTCGATAAATGCAATGGCTTACTGCCACCAAAAGGAAAACAGCGGCATTACTCCACAGGGAAATGAACTATTACCAGTGGATTAATACTAACAAATTAAACTTACGTAAGGAGACAAATTTAGTGTTTTAATCAGGATGAAATAACCTTTGAAAAACCCAAAAAAAGCTGGGGGTGAGATTTTGCAAAAGCTGATCTCCCCATTTTCTYAATGTTTTGAAGCCTTAGGGAGCAGGAGGCTGGGAGGGATAAAGGCAGAGGGCAAAAAACAATTAACAAACTAAAATTTTATGGTTCTCCAGGGCCAGCCTTCCAAGGGGTTTGTTCTACCTTCCAGGATATTCCACAAGAAATTAATTTTTTTAAAAAAAAGTAAATTTAACAAAGAAATTTGATTTCACTACAAAATAAGTTTAGCATTTTAGAAAGAGGTCAGATAATCCATGCATATTCAGCAGATTGATGGGCAGCAAAGGAAACAGCTGTGAGAAGCAGATCATAATGACATCTTTTGTAAACATAAACCCAAAACTACTCTCTCTGCAATCCAGGGATGAAAACATTTACRTTTTTCATTGCTGCAGTAAATATGATACCCTTTTGTGGCATTTACTCATCTCCAAGCTTTTCCCAGGGGCCTTGCTTTGCACAGGTGGAATGCAGAAAGGTACTGCAAAGTCCTTCACCTTATTTATGCTCAGTTCCAGCAAGAGCAAGAGGCTGATTTATGCTACAGATCCATGTTTAAGGCAGGAACTACTGCAGCAATTAAGTCACAAGGGTAATGAATCTCTCTGCTTCTAGACTTTCTGCTGTTATCCTGCTGTTTGCTCCCCTTGCTCCACCACCCAGAGGAGGAGAACAAAAAAACCACAAAGGTAACAAAGATACCTCCCTCCTCCAGCTTTTATAATCTCAATCATGAAGATTTTTCACAATGACTTAAGCATCAAAACTGGAATAAATAAGCTCAGGAATTCATATGGCAATGGACAAAGAAGGAAAAAGCAGAACTTGCAGCAAGTTTTGCTTTTTCAGGCGCTGAGGAGACACCAGCACCCACGAGGTGTGTCCAAAGGTGAAGATGTTGTAAGCACAGAGAACACTTTTGAAGTTTGCTGTTATCAGCAAATACAATGTGACACAACTCCCCCCTGGTTTCAAGTCAGGGAGATACTAAAAAACGAAAATAAGTTTAAGCCTCCCTACCTCCAAAGCAGAACTCAACAGTATCAACCTTTCTCCCCCACACTGGCAGGAGTGAAAGAAAGAGGGCCCTCAGAGCAACCAGAAGGCCAAGGGGTTCTTTTAGGATACTCTAGAAAGAGATCCTAAAAGTATCCACAGGACTSAGGTGTCACTTCCTTTAAGTTACCCACTAGAAATAAGTCCCCCAAAATCCAAAGCAGCCAAAGCTGCATCTGTACAAAGCAGTTTGTGCATTGCTCAGCCCAAAACTTCAACTGGAAAGCTGAACTACATGAACTTGAGTTATTTCACAGGAATTTCTCCCATTAGGAGATGAGAAGAGTGGTGGCCATGGAGAACATGAGACACACTCTGATAACAGTGAGATGCTAATTTACATTGGAAGGTGTCAGTGACCTCAAAGACCACAATTGCTGCCAGTTTTGTCTCCTAAAGCAGCACACACAGAGTCTCACACCCTCTCCCTAATATATCATCCTCCTCCTCCTAAGCTCTGTGCCTATTTTACAACAATGGATCCACAAAATTTTAACCAACTGTGYCTTCTGGGGCCTGAATTAACATCACATTTAGAATGTGACACCTCAACCGTGCTTGAATGAGAGTTGTATTTGAGAGGAGGGAAAGAAAAAAGCCCACAGACAAAACCAAAGAGCCCTGCAAGAATCAATCTTTACGATTCAGCTTTCACTGCAGCCTTTTCAGGGAACCATATTAATATGATAATCAAATTAACAATGGCATCTTCATAAAAGCAGAAAGTGAGTGAGATCACCCTCATCAAATTCCAAATCTCTCAATTATATTTAAAACTACCGACCACGTTTATAAACCTGCTCAAAGCCGCGGAGTTACCCACTAGGTGGCAGCGACCATCCAAGGATTTAACACCTGGACTTTTAATTTAACAGGCAGCATACAGCCTGAGCCACATGGAGCTCCTGGGAGCTACACTMCGCTCTTCACTATAAACAGAGACCAAGCAGATGTATTACGGGAGAAAATATCTTCTCTCTTATAAATAAAGCAAAATTTGTTGATTGTATAAAATGGCATGTTTCATATTTGGTGGTGCTTGCCCAAAACGCAGTTTTTTACAGGAAAAGTGCAGTTCTTCTCAGAAAATGACAGGTACTTATCTCCATGAGCACAGACTCCAAATGTACCGCCTTTCCCCCTGCTCCTACTACTGAGGAGCGAGAGTAGAACTACAGAGAGCCCGAGGAACGGAACCACTGAAGGAGCTGAGTTGGAAGGGACACATCAGAACCATCGAGCCCAGCTCCTGGCCCTGCAAAGGACACCCCAAGGGTCACACTCTGTGCCCAAGAGCATTGTCCAAACTTTCCTTAAGCTCTGTCAAGGTTGGTGCTGTGACCACCGCCCTGGGAGCCTGTTCAGTGCCCAGCACCCTCTGGGGGAAGAACCTTTTCCTGATACCCAGCCTAACCCTCCCCTGACACAGTTCCAGGCCATTCCCTCGGGTCCTGTCTCGGCCGTTCCCCGCACCGAGGGGATGGAGCCGGATTATCATCGCGGATCGGGCAGGGCAGGGCACAGGGCAGGGCAGGGCTGTGCTCGGCGCCCCGCACCAGCAGCAATCCCGTCTGCGGCTGCACCCAGAGCCCCGCGGAGCAGGGGATGCCGCACACCCGGCGGGAGAGAGGCCGATGGAGCYGCTCCCCTCAGACCGCGGCCCCTTCCCCCCGCGGCGCCGGTACCTGCAGGAGGCCGCCCATCTTGGCGCGCAGAGCGCGGAACTCCTCCGGCGGCGCCTCGGGGTAGAGCTGGCCGTGCAGCAGCTCCTCGGTGATGTCGGCATTGCCGTGGAAGGCGGCCTGGGCGATGCCGCTCAGCAGCGCGCTCAGCGGCCTGGAGCCCTCAGGCGGCGGCGGCGGCGGCTCGGGGGCCGCCATGGCGGGCAGGGCGAGTCCCGGCTACGGCGGCCGCGCCGGGACAGCCCCCGCCGCAACGCGCGCGGTGCCTTCCCGCGGGGACGAGCGGGATCGCATTCCCGGTGAACGGGCTGTGCCCACCCAACACCGCACCGGAGCCTTCCACAGGGACGAGCGGGATCGCATTCCCGATGAACGGGCTGTGCCCACCGAACACCGCACCGGAGCCTTCCACAGG